ATATAAAAAAGTGAATCGCAATACCGCAACTCACTTTTTTTATATAGAATCTATATAAAAAAGTGAATCGCAATACCGCAACTCACTTTTTTTATATAGAATCTATATAAAAAAGTGAATCGCAATACTGCAACTCACTTTTATTATATAAAATCAATATAAACTCACTTTTATTATATAGTAGAATCAATAGTTTCAGGTCAACAGGTCAATCAGGTCAGGTCAATCTTTATACCTGACCTGAATTTTTTTCAAAAATCTCATACCTGACCTGAATTTCAGGTCAGGTCAGGTCAGGTTACCTGAATTTGGCTGACCTGTTCGGAGCTCTAATTATTTGCAACTTGCAATAGTTGTATAATATCATTATATAGTAAATTATTTTGGTTATTCTTCGTTTAAAATAATAATAAAGAAGGCTGCTGTGCAGAGCTTTGTATAAGTTGGCTAAATGTGTTAAAATGGGCTGCAGCTGCCAAAGTTGAAGTGCTATTGATTGGTAATTCTTCTTTAGCTTGTGTTACGAACTTGATATATGTATATGCAAATGTAGACATTAGTTCGTCTTTTAATCCACCTTGAACGAACATCCAGAACACGCCATCTTTGCTGACATAAACTTCAACCTGATGCAGATAGAACTTCCCAGTAGTGAGCTGTTCAAAAATACCATCAAAAGTTTTTGAGTTAATAACAACTTTCATTATTCTTGAACTTATCAAAATTTTTTGTGTTTCTTCTACAATAATCTACATGTACTACAAATTGTGGCATTTTCTTATTGAATTTGAAAATAAAAGGTCATGAACTCGAAAATTTATAAGGGAAGTAGATCTAAAAATATCCAAAAAATATTTCATGTAAAAGGTCATTATTAGGTGGTATTTATGTAATGGTTATTTTAATTTACATAATATAGATGGTAGGTATTATTCTTCGTTTACATAATAGGCAAACAATAACATTTTTAATAAAAAGACTCATTATCCAAATAGTGGTTATCACATGACTTCATAATACTAAATGATGTTAAACTACCCTGTTCGGATTAAATAGGAGGTGAGAAAAAAAAAAAAACTCTTCCCCCTTTCCGTCAGATTTCATAGAAATCTGCAGTATACACAAATTTTTTAAAAAAATAAACTTTTAACCCTTTACGTTGGTATAGAAGGAGTGAGGACCACTTGGTGGCCTTGACAGAAAGTACTCCTTATTCACCCTGTTGCTTTTGGAAAGAGTTTTTTCACTATAGTATACCAAAATTTTTGAAGTTATGTCATCTTTAAAGTCTTTAAACATTTTACCTTCCCTTGAGAAAAAATATCCCCTTGACGTTTCTTTTTCCAAATTTCACATGACTCGTCCTAATCGAGCTGGTTACAACAAGATTTATGAAATCAGAAGATCAAAAAGTTTCTTTTTTGAGCTTGTTGATCAGACCACAAACACCAATGAAACTTATCTTAAGATCCATACAAATGATTATCACATGAAAACTACCCCGATTAGTTATCCCAACACAAGTAAACTTCCCAATGACAAATACCAGATTAGTGTTATGCTCACGCACTTTTTTTCTTTACAAAGAGTTTTACCCAGACGTATACAACAAAAATTTTTTAATTTTATCTGAGATAAATTAATTGAACGCAAGGTGATCATTATGTCACGTGCTTGTAAAATAGACTCACATAATACTAGCACTAAAACTTTTTTTAATTTCACCTACAAAAGATATCGCTTTCACTTTGGAATTTATACTCCTTGTTCTCATAATCATATAACCCCTGGATTCTCTGACTATACTTCTGCTAAAAGTATTTGTAAAGTACCAGCGCTGTTCTTGATGTCCGACTTTAGAAGAGCTTGCGTCTTACATCAACCAGCATTCTTTAAAAATGATGTGTTTACACATATTAAAAACCCTAAAAAAGAATTAAATATTGACATCACAGACCCTTCAATAACCCCAAAGGTTTATCATGCTAACCTTTTATACACTCACTGGAATACACACAGAACAAAAAGAATTTACTCTCGAAGATCTGGAATTTCTTACGAAAAAACGATTCACGCTCATGATCGTTATTCAATTAATCACCTTAATAATAAACATATATACAGAAAGAGACTTAGTAATTTTTCCTTTCGAAGAAGTCATAACCCTCGTGTGAGCAAGGCTCAAGAGATTCGTTTTGAGTCGTCGGGCTGGATGTGGGAGGTGCAAGCACCACCCACCTCCGGGTTTACGACCCGTCGCAGTACCTATATGACCCCTACGGGGCTCAGGAATCCCAATATATCCGCCACAATCTGGGACAACATCTGAAACAAATATATATACCAAATAACTAGAAAACAATAGAAAAGGAAGCAATAAAGGATATAATGAGAGGGTTGTCCCAGATGTGGCAGATGTGGCAGATGTTTCAGAAAAATTATGAGAGGACATCCCCCCAGAAAAAGTTTTATTTTTACCCCCCCAGATCTGCCACATTCAGAACATCTGGAACAAGTCAGGATTCCATCTAATAATCTGTTGGAAGCAGTGAGGTAGCAAACCAGGTAAGTTAGCAGGTAAGCCCCTAGAAGGTCTATAGAGCCAGTAAGACCAACCCCGTCCCGCCCCTGTCAGAAAAAATAAGTAATTGAACAATGGGTATACCATAAGTAACATACAATGATAAACTTACATGCAGCCACTTCTGTTGCCAAAGATCTTGGTCTTGATCTTGTAGACATCTATGGAATCCATAAATGGATCCAAATGCAGGCATCACCCCTCAATGACCTGGACATAGTGAGAGAGATGGTCAGAAACCTCCTGGTTAAAGAATTCGAAAAACATCTCAAAATTAACAGACTCTGGTACAACTGTTGTAAAGCCGAGTTGTGGAAGCGGCATAAAGAAGCCGAGGATGCATATGACAGGGCAGTAAAAAAGAAGGAAAAAGCGGGGATGATTTTGGTCAGTCATTTGAGGAGGAGGGTATTGGAAATCGTGAACTTCATGAGCTTAATTGGAAGGCATATCAAAAGGCTTGTAAAGAGTTATCGGAAGCTAGAAAAGAGCATTGTATGGTAAGGTGGGCTGTTGAGCGGTGTGGATTTCACTAGATATATGTGGATTGAAAAAGGGGAAGGGAAGATTTAGAGCAGTCGTAAAGGTTCGTGGTTTATAGTTTTTTTTTACCCCTAAAAGATAACCAGATATAACCGGAGGACCGCAGAATCGCAGGACCACAGGATTACAGAAGGGTAACCTGGTAGGAGTGCAGATCTTTGGAAAAAATATTCGGCAATTGAAGATTAGGTAACTATAAATTAGTACTCGATTTGATAGAACAAAAAATGACTGCCCAAACTAGCAATCAAACTCAAATTATCACCAAGTTCGGTGAACAGAAGAAGGCTTTTAGTATTAATGAGCTTAAACAGCTCATTAACGCTGCAAAGAATATGAAAGATCTCAATCAAGCTAAAGGTTATCTTTGCAGTTACTTTATCCCCTACTCCAACCCGCATGAAGTCTTCATGTGGCGGTCAGAAATCAAAAACCTCGAGCACATCCCTGATAAAAATATTAATAAACTTATCCGTCCAATTACCAAAGTCTTTTACACACAATCTGAACAGGGTCCTTCACAAAAGGTTGAATTTAATATAAACAAATGGTTTATGATCGAATATAGTACTGTATGTGTAGCTACCTGTGACCCTCAAAAATCCCGTATCTTTAAACTAGGTGGCCAACTTTATCTCAATATCTTTCCAGGATTCCTCCATATCCTACGTCCGATATCCACTTTTGAATCTACAACCCACCTCGAAGTTAAATTTATCTTCTCTCACATTCAGGATATCTGGTGTTCAGGCGATTGGAATCTTACTGAGTATATCATAAAGTGGTTGGCCGGTGTGACAGCTGGAAGGAAAATGTATTCGATTCTCTACCTGAAATCTGGACAGGGTTGGGGTAAGAGTATTATAACAGATTTCATTCAACGTAGTGTCTTAGGTACTCAACTTGTTTATAAGACCAGCGATCCTCAAACGATTCTTGGAAGTTTCAATGGGCAATTACAAGGTAAGGTTCTTCTCCTCCTTGAGGAAATGCCTACAGAAAAAAGCCAGTGGAATAATCTGTATCGATCATTGAAGGATAAGGTAACAGGCGACATAATGGAAATCCATGAAAAATACAAGAAGCCAACACATTACAAAAACTTTATATCCACCATTGTACTCACTAATGAAAATGCTCTCAGAGTGGAGAATGATGATAGGCGCACAGTGTTCTTGGATGTGTCACCATTCCGCAAGGAAGACCTCAACTACTTTAAGAAACTCAGTGACGCTATGAAATACCCAGGCGCCAGTGAGGCATTCTATGCTTACTTGAGAGCCATTGCAGATGCTTACCCAGACTTCAATGGGAATCCACCACCTATGACAACATCTAAGCAGGATCACATCATATCGACTCTCCCACCCCT